ATTAATTAAATAATATAAAATATTATTGTAGTTCACTACTGTTCGAAAAAACCTCTTTAGAAAATATTTGATTCAATAAAATATTTTATTTAGTTAATTATTTCATTTAATAAAATATTTTATTAAATAAATTATTTTATTTAACAAATTATTTCATTAAATAAATTATTTTATTCAATAATTACGTTTTTTATTATTCATTTTATAAATTATTTTATTTAATAAATTATTTCATTTAATAAAATATTTTTTTTAGTAAATTATTTCATTTAATAAAATATTTTATTTAATAAATTATTTTATTTAATAAATTATTTTATTTAATAAATTATTTTATTTAAGAACTTATTTTGTGAGAGTAGCGGCTATTTTTACTTAGTAGAATCTATTATATTTAATAGAAATGTTCCGAAAGGAAGTAAGCTTCAAAAACAAAAATTTTTATTTTTCTAACACTTCACTATTATAAAATAAGTGAATAAATAAAAAATAATATAAAAAGATTTTTTGTTGTTGTAGTGCACTACTTTTCAAAGTCTCTGCGCTTCAGATTTGGCAGAACGCGAGCTCGATTCCTGGTACTTGCAATCTCAAAAAATTGTTTAAGAATAATTTAATTAATTAATTAATTAAAGAAATAGTTCCAAGTCTACTGATGATGGGTATTTGACAATACTCTAAACAGCTGTATGGTTAGCCAAAATATCAATTGAAATAATATAAAAAATGAATTTTTGTTAATTTAAAAAACTATTAAATTTATTGTTTAAATGAACTTTCAATTATTAAATTACTGCAAACACGTAAACTTGTGTTTCCAAATAAAACTGTAGTTTATAAGCTTGTTCTAATTTAAAGCACATGCTTTGGTTATCGGCACTAATTAATATAAAAAAGTGACAAAAAACTTGGAACTTGACCGCTAAAAGTTTGTGCAGCCTTGTCTACTTGTGGAAAATCACGATTAGTCATCGCTTGTAATTTGACATGCATGAGTTCTACAAGCCTAGCACTTCCAATCCAAACAAATTATATGCGGACTATAAACTAATCAAAACATTTGAATTTTTCCGTAGACCACTGATGATGAGTGCTTGACAATATTCGACACAGACACTTAAGTCACTTGAGAGACGAAGCTATCTGTATCTTGTCACTTAGTCAATGTTGTTCACTTAGTCAATGTCCGTCAAAATTTGTATCTTTTAGTAGTAAATTGTTACAATTTCTGTGACACTCTACATAACATGAATTTTCGCCATAACCTAAACGAGCCAATTTTGACTTTCTGCATAACATGCCTCTAAGTCATTCTTCACCATAGCTATAACATAGCTTTGCCTGGAAGTGAATGGGAATGTGTTTCTAATAACTCAATAGCAAAAAAATAAGAAATTGCATTTAAAGCTTTGCAAAAGATTCAAGATGGTTTTTAGACCTCCAAAGTTCTTATACTATATCCTAGTGGGCTATATATGTTTATATATGTAGGTATATATTATCGATATATAGTTATATATGATATATAGTTACTTTTATTTTAACGAAAATCACTCTTATTATTATCTATTATATGTACTATATATAGTTTATTATATGTTACAAAAAATAAAGGTTTTTTAAACTACAATGCAAAAAAAAAATTATATAATTAAATAATGCTTACTCGTATACTGATATAGCTAATATTTAATCAATTTGAAAAGTTTAAAGTTCAGAACATAAAGTTTATTTATATATACGTGGGGTATTGGAATAGTTTACGCCCTACCCCGGGTGTATATCATGTGTATGTATTTTTTTATTAATAACACTTTAGAATGTAAACCTAAAAAAATTTACTATTTTTACTATCAAAATTTAATAAGCAATTTAATAATTTTTTTAATTGACAAACATTTGAAATATTTGTAGAAATGCAGGGAAACATATCAAGTGATATGTTTGTGTGATTAAAAAATACTACGCTCTTGCAAATTCGAATTAAATTAGACGAAATTTACTTAGACTTTATGACATCACATGCAGAAATTAAAAGAAGAAATTGCAGATCACTAATATGGTCGTCTCAGCTTAGTTAATAAGACCCATTTTTGATGGTCAAAAAGCGCCGCCACTGACGAAAACTTTTGTAAAACGTTTTAAATGGTTTTAGGCTATGTGCCTAAAAGCCTGACTCCGTCTGGAAAATTTCGCATGATTTAAGTTCGCAAATATGGACCCAATTAATCAAAATAACAATAAAAAAATACAAATTTATTATCCACGCATGTGTTTGATGCACTCAAAAGTATATACCATTTCAGTTAAATCACAATTCTCCTTATCTTATCCTTATTTTATACTATAGAATATATTCCAGTATATATGATAAAATCAACACAAATATTTGGTGCAATTCAAATGTCTTGATATACTAATTACATTAATGAAAATCAATCTAATGAAAATTAATCTAATGAATATCAACCACGTCGAAATTATATAGAAATCAGTAATAAAAAGTACCACAAAGTAGCATTATTATGCTCCTACTAAAGCAATTAAATTTCTTATTAATTACAGGACAATATATCTTGAATAAGATTTAAGTTATATAAAATATTTTTTGATTTTTAATTAATTAGATATGAATGATTTCTTTAACTTTAACAGGGAAGTCCTGTCAGCTGGTAGAGTTAGATCAACTCTAATTTGGTATGCTTAGGACATATTATTGATTTATAATTTTGTATAAAGATGCATTATAATTAGAGATTTCTTAGCAATATTACTCCAAATATTCAAATATTCAAGCAGTTTCCATTAAAAAAGACAAAAATTGTATTTTAGTGAAACTGTATATCGGCTAAAATTTCGGCAGTCTTCATCCTTTATCTTTACTTATTAAGTTTAGACTTAATTGAGTGTCCAGGTTATTTATGAGATCTGAATCCAAGTTGCTATTTTGTGGTTATCAAATTTTAGCCTCGGATTGGATAACAAAAATTCTAAACAAATAGAGAGGTTATATCCTCCGTAAATGGTTATGTGGAAGAAATTTAAGCAACGTTTAATTCAGTTATGTTGATTGCGTTTCGAATTGATTGCGGTTCGAGATTAGATTAGAGATCTAGATCCAAGTAACTGGATTAGGTGGCAAAAATTCTAATCAAATAAACAAATTATATCCACCATAAATCATGGAACACAATAACACAATGCACAATTTAAAGGAGTTAAAACAGTTGAGGGATTGTTGAGAAAAATTATATTGAGCAGACATAGATTATGTAGTAAAAATACCAACAACAAAAACATTAAAAACGACCTTTTCTATATTGGGAGCAAAAGTTTTCGAGCAACTCTAGTATATAATGTAAGTAATTCAATAATATATATATATATATATATATAACTTCTTTAAATAAAATTATTTTAAATAAATTTGATAAAGAATTGGTTTATATTTCTTTATAATATACATAAAAAAAGGATTGTTTTTAATAAATAAAAAAATTTCTAAATGAAAATTCCAGGTTTTAAAAGTATTGAATAATATTTTAAAATAAAAATTATTTACTTTAAAATTTGTTAACACTTAAAACTTAATTAAAATTTAAAAATATACAATAACTCTCTGTTATTTATTAAAATCAAGTAATTATAATTACCAATTAAATCATAATTCACTATTTAAGCACTATTGCGTTACTATTGTTTTTTATATTGAATATAATTAATGTCCAAACATTACCAAATTAGTCTTACTTAGAATCGAAATGACAAAAATTAAAATTGAAAAAAAATTATAGACAAAATCAATTAAAAGTAATAAAAATATAATAATAAAAATTTAATGATTTAATATTTTAATGAAAATAATGTCTTTTGAAATAATTTTTATTGAGAAAAAGGCAATCTATTACTAATGAAATATTCTTATTGCGAAATATTAAAAATTTTATAGAATATAAAAAATCAATTAGAAACGTAGCAAATTTAATTTAAACATATTTTATATTTTATTTCATTGCATTTTTTTTTTGTTAATAAAAATAAATATATTTATTTAAACAAAAGAGTTTCATGAATAATAAGATAATGCTTTCTAATTTGAATAAAAATTGTAAACTTAATATAAATGTAATATCTGAGGGACTAGTCAAGATATGGCCTATAGGTTTATTCTTGATGAAAGATGCTTAGTTGGGATCGATAAACATTATTATCAAAATGGCGTCTTCTGTAGTGAATTAAAATAAATTTTATTAAATTTAATATTGATATTTATTAAATATGATATTGATAAAAAAATTTCTTTAATGGAGCGGTTTCGAACTGTATTAAATTGCAACAACAAAAATTTTTATTTATTTTTAATTTATTCAGTTTAACTGTTTTGAGTATTGTCAAATACACATCGTCAGTGTTCTTGAAATTATATTTTTTGAGGCTTTCATCCCTTTTGACCAGAAACCTCGTACATTTTGATTTTAACGTCAATATGGCGATAGTGATTATTTTACTTAATAGAAACTATTGCATTTAATAGAGAGGTTTTGAAAACATAATCTATATTATTTCTTCTTCTTATTTGGCACTGCAGTCCAGTATTAACCTTGGCCTCCCTTATTATTTATTATATCATATTATAAAATATTTTATATTATATAATATTTATCTGTACCTTTGTAGATAAGGTGTGATTATCAAGCGGTCAGAGAGTATTAAAAGTCTTAGAGCTAAAGTTGAATTTATAATTCATTAGAGCAACCTTATTACATATTATCTGTCAAAATGATTAATCTGAAAAATGATTAAAACATTGAAATAAATGTCATTTACTCAAATTTTTTTGGGAAGTAAAAAATTGTTATAGAACTTGGTTTTAGTTTTGAATTATTACAGTATTGAACTGTTGTTTACGATTAGTAAACTGACTTCTCTCAAAATCTTATGGTGAAGATTGTTACATATTTATTTATTAATACTTGTTTGTTAAACTCAAAAGCTGTGACATGTCGATTTCCTCTGGAGACAATCTACAAAATAGGGCAATTGGCACATATGCGTCAAATGTGGACAATGTTAAATATTTTAAAACTATAACTGAAGTGCAGGAAACCCTAGAGCATGATATTAAAGGTTGTGATGTTAAGTTCACATTGTTCGTTTCTGCGGTCGGAAGCATTGATCGCGAACAACTGCGAGACCTGATTCCACCAATGTTTATCAAGAGTGATAGCAAATGTGATTTCCATGGGCTACTCGAAACTATTAATGCAACTCCAAAATTGAATGTTTTGCTTCAAAAAATAAAAGACTCCAAATTTTCCGGTTGCAATCCACGCATCATTCATTTGTTGCATTATTTGTTGTGTGAGAAAAAAATACCGACTATTCGAAGCATGACTGCAGATGAGGATGATAAAGTTTTCAGTCTAATTCAAAACTTTGAGGGTACGGTAATACCCACAGATATGTTTGAAATATATTATAAGCATGATTCCGAGGAAGAAAAAACATTTGATGCTCAAGGTTTAAAGTATGGAAGAGAAATTGGCTTATGTGGCATTTCACTCGATAAATATTATTCAGTCCTATATAACGGTTTTTTGGACCAAGAAGAAATGAAACGCAACCCTAATGCATCTCTTCATCTTACTAAGAATATCTTAATGAGCTTGCAGGAAAGTAGTATTCAATCTAGTTGGGAAGGTTCAAGTCTGGGTACTGATTTGAAATGTGTTGCTTTGTGTCAGTACATCTGTCGTAGTGAATATTTTCGCCATGTAAGAATTTCTAATTGCTTAGGTGTGTCCATTCTGCTAGGTGATATCGTTCGTCCACGTTATCTCATGTTCTTCGCCGAAACACCAGAATCACTCTCATCTACTACTGACATGTCTATGAGCAATAACTTAAAGATTGTTCCATCCATTAGTACTCAAGTCGAATTTAAACCAATTCCACAGACGTCTACCAATTGTGAACAAAAGTATTTGGTTTTGGGGATGTCTGGAGTGATGTTGGCAATCGGCATGTATGCTTACAAGAAAAATTGTTTGGGATTTAAGGGTATTTTCGATTCTAATATGGAAAGAGCAATTAATAAATGCTCTGATGTATTTAGTAATTTTTTTTTAAATTGTTATGACTTAGAATAAGTACAAAAAAAAAATAATAATAAATTAAAATAAGTTTTACTTTGCATATATATTTTGCTGATACATTATATATACATCATGCAACTGTATAATGTATTGTAAAATTGTTTGCAGAGTAAAACTTTGTTTTAAACAAAAAAATGTTAATTTTTTTATTCTACTAACTTTACAACTGTCTTGCTAGGTACATTGTAAAGTAAACAAATTGCATATAGGCTATATGACTGGGTGATCCTTAAACATATATTACATAGACTAAATAGTAAATAGTAAATGATTTTATCTGAAAATTTATAAGACTGACTCTTATTCAAATATTCAATTTAATATAACATAATATAATGATGAAGACATCATTTAAGTTGGTTTATAATATAGATAGGTGGTGAGAATACGTATTCTTAGAACAACATCCCTTACTTCTTGCCTTTGTAAATTGTTTCTTCAATTTACATTTTTTGACAAGTATTAAAGTCCCATAATATAGTCCCAGTTTACGTGGATTAATGGCGCTCTAAATTGAAGTGTCAATTTGTGTGATGGAACCCCAAACATATCTATCGAAATCGGGGATTCAACTGGATTGTTAACAACATCATCGACAATTATATATAAATTTATTTGTAAGTCAAACGACCGTCTCGTTTTGAAGCCACTGTTTATAGGAACTCTGATAATAAAATTTTTCATCTTTTATTCAGCTAATGAGACTTTTAGAATGAATTCGTCGTTCCAAATTTAAAAAAATCGATTTTAAGAATTATTTATATAGTGTCAACCAAAAAAATTAATTCTAGATAAGAACGTAGGTTATAGCCTAAATTCCACTTTTTATATATTTATTGTAAAGACTTTTCCTTGATATAAATATCCTATAGATCGATCGAGTGGTTTTGGAGAAAATTCGATTTAAAATTTTTTTGAATATTGACCACCTTTAACATTCATTCTATATAAAATTATTAGAACCTATGCTCGACACTTTTGTATTCATATTTTAAAGTATTAATAGCATGCAGAACAATTAAACGATTAAGGGTCAATATAATATATATATCGAATATAGTTTGAGTGATATTTTGACTGAACTTACGGGGGTTTTTGACTGGTCACACAAGGATTTTGGATATTGTCATATATGCATTACCTATATGTAAATGGTTCACACAAGGATTTTGAATATTATCATATATGCATTATACATATACCAAATATTGCCAAAAATAAATGATCCATGTTAAGACAGTTCAATTTGAGATCTTAAAGACAAAAAAAATTTAATTACCCCTTAAATACTGATAATGGGTATTTGATAGTATTCAAGAAAGCTATGTAATCTCAAACATTATTTTGATTAACAATTAAATGTTTGGTTTGATTATTTTCTCACTGTTACTCATTGTTCAGAAGACAATTAATTCCTGCCATAGAACATTAAAATTTTTAGTAATTTAAAAATTTAATAATAAGTTTACCTGAAAAACTTACGATTAACAATTCCTAATTAGATTAAGAGAATAAAGTAAAATATTTGGTCTTGATTATTGATTGGATGATTAGAAATAGATAGTGTGCAACTTGAAATTTCGCATATTAAGACCTCTATGGAATGGAATATTGGAAATTGCAAACAAAAATTTATTGTAAAAATAAGTATTAAGACCAAATATTTTCTTTTGTTGCGTTACATTTAGTAAATAGACGAGTTTCACTATTAAAGACCTACCTATGTACTATATTGAGATCATTTCTAAAATCTTCATAGTGTATACCAAATAAAGGAATCGATAACGACTTAAGAATCGAAAGTGTTAAGCAATATATAGTAATGCGTTCTAGCTATAGATGCAAAAGATGCTCATTTGAATTCAGCACTAAGTATTTAGACGAAAATCAAAATCTATAAAGACTTAAGAAAAGCTTTAAACACCTTAAATATATCCAGTACGAAGTAGACTTAAACTAAACAGCATCTTTATTGTCTTTGGTAGATATGCATGACTACAAGTGATTATGTTATAAATAAAAACTAACTACATAAGTATATATAAAAATGCGATATAGCTTGTGATTTATAACTGCAACCACTCATAAGATAATGTAAGCGCTTAAAGTCACTAACTCGAGCAACTTAAAACACGACAAAGGGCATTTTAAAGACGTTAGGTGTATAAATCAGTATCTATAATGGAACTTTTATTTACAAATATCAAAACAACATTTTATGTTTAAAGCAGAGTTTATTTATTTAAGCCATACCTAACATAATGTTTACTTTTAGAATATTATTTTAAAATTAAACATTATATAATTGCATTTTAACTTTTTCTGAGCTTAAATTTTATAACAACATTCAATTTCATCTATAAAAGCGTTCAGCAAGACCACAAAAACTACTATTCGCCAGCTAGATATTGCAGAAAGCCTGGCTCTGAAAACACTTTTGAAGATGCCATAGTACTGTAGGACGAATGACATCCACAGGGACCTCAAAATTTATCCAATAAAAAAATATATAAAGGGTAGAGCACTGAAACTATTTACGAAAACTGACAGGCTTATCAACACCGCGTTATCGAATCTCAGAATGTTAACAGGCTCCTCGGATAGGTATGCAGATAACTGTGATCAGTTATTGTTTAGTCTTATGAAGTGATAAACCATAATCCAGTCAAGACGTAGAGAGGGGTTATGAAGTTAGCAGTTAGTAAAGAGTCAAAGTGCTCAAGTGCACTAACTCAACTAGCCTCAACATAATTAATTTTTATTGTTGTTTATTAACAAAATACGGGTACAGGCTCGTGGGAATGTATATTCTTACGGAAGAGGCAATAAAATTTTGTAAAGTAGGTTCTATACTACTTTTTATTGAAGCAACAGGGCTTAGAAACCTACTCTAAACCCAGAATGGGACACAACAAACCCGACGGTCGCAGTGTCACATTCCCTAACAATAATAATAATATTAACAAAATATGAATAAATAAAAGTTACAATTTCAATTGGATTTAATTACTGATATACATATCTTCATATAAATTATAACATACCTTATTTATAAATCTGCTTTACTTTATATATACAAATATCAACTGTATTGTTTCTCTATTAATAGTGTAAATTATCAACAAATAAATTTTAAATAAAATTAATAAAATTGTAGTAAAATTTTAAAATTTTATTACAACCCACACTTAAATATAAAATATACCAATAAAAACAAAAAATTAAAAACTAAATTTAAGGGATTTTTTTGTGTGAATTTTATTATAGAAATATTGACATTCCTATAAACAAAACTAAGACAATATTTTTAAATTTATATATATTTCTGTTAGAGGAATTGAGGAAAATTCAAAATATTTGGCATATTTACGAAATATTTTGTTTATTTTTTTTTTCTTGTTGTTGTTTTCAAACAGCTCAATAAGTGAACACAACAGCAACAACAACAACAGTACTAACACATATGCTTCATTTAATGCCCCGCACACAGTAGACTCACGCGCCTAAAAATATGCAAATATCCTTACAAAGTTGCTCGGCATGCAAGTAATGCAAAAAAGCACACATTTTACTGCTTCTCTTGGATTGAACAAAACAAAAAAAAAACAGTAAAAATAGAAAATAAATGAAATAAAATAAAATAAAAGCAAACCAGAGATGAAGTAAGAAATAAAATAAGCAAAAATGATATTGCAAGAAAGACGGAGTCTTAGAGTAAAATATCAAAAAACAACAAAAAAACAAAACAACCACAACACTAATACAAAAGACTACAAATCAATTTCATTTACCTATAAATTACACAAAAATTGTTTTATTATTTTTTTACAATTAGAATTATAAACAATTTAGAAACTAAATTATATTTTGTTTATATTAATGCACATATTTAAACATCCGGCGACTTTAAAAATGTTTCACGGATAATTTTTCTTCTCAATAAACCGTACAATTTTCACTTAACAATTTCTTGGCATGCACTACATACGACCGACGTTGAAAAACTAAACTTTCGTTAGGTCTCGTCGCTAAAACCAAGCCACATGCAATTAATGCTCATACAGGAGGGTGGAAAGCTCACGTGTAAAAAAGCTTTACTCACCACACACACTCACTTTACTCAGCACTTTATGTTGTATTGCGTTCGTTTGGTTACTTTGCGTTTAGCTGCTGTGCTGTTGCAAATGGTCTTTTATGTGTGGTGAAGTTTTTTGCGGCTTCCTTGTTAGTACAAAAAACAAGAAAAAGTATTAGTATTGAAAGCGGAAAACGTGACGTTGAAGGTATAAAAATACAATAAAAATGTTATAAGTAACAACAAAACCAACAACAAAAACAACAACAACAAATTGACAACAATTGACGTTAAGGCGTACTAAGTCGCGAAAACAATGCAACTTAAGAGTTTTTTTGTTTTTATTTTTTTTTTTGGATTGCTGTAATTGTTGTTGTTGTTGTTGTTGCTCTATGTACGAGTAGTACATACGTTCACATTGACCTTAGTGAAAGCTTCAGGGCCACTAAGGGTGCCCGTCCGTGTTCTTTTAATTTTCTTACTTGATTTTCATAAAAATTTTTTTCGTGTGTTGCTGCCATTGATTGAGGTTGTCTTTTGTTGCTTCCTAATTTAATTTATGAACTTAAGTTTTTTTTTTATTGTATTTATTTTTCTGTTGTTTTTGGAAAACACTAATTGCAGCTTAAAACCAAAGCAGTAAATTTTTTGTTGTTGTTATTATTATCGTTGTTGTAGTTTATGACTTTCTTATACATTCATCCATTTTTTTCTGTTTTTTTTTGTTTTTTTGTGTAGATTGAAGTATCCTTAATGTACCTGAAGCCGATGCTCAACCTAAACAGCTTTATAATTAATTACAAAAAGTTATAGGGCGAGTGGAAATTCAACAACAACAACAACAACAACAAAGTCTGTTAAAGATTTTTCTTTGTATTTTAAATGAGCGTTAAATTATTCTTCTTAACTATAAGAAAAT